GCCTCAGACCACAGTTACCCCTTAACTTTTACCATGACCCGGAAGTAAAATATGAGAATATAGTGCCTTGTTTAAATGGGCTGTTCTGCTTTGTGCTGATTTTTCAGGGTGACTTGTGATAGCTTAAATGAAAGGTAAGACATTGTACTTTACTGCAAAATTTTTGGGGTCCACAATCTACTCATGGTATTGACACCAGCCTTCCCTTTGATTTGACCCCAAGTTCAAGGCTGTCTGGTGTGTTTCGCCTCGTAACTTCCGGTGACCATTGTTTACAGTGGATACAGCAAAATCGACATGGTCGATCCAGGCTCATATTTTGCCGATTAAGTGACAAGTGGCAGGTTGGCCAGCATGCAACAGGAGAACAGCCTACGACCGATATTAATTATGGTGCACTGGCATGTCACTGTAGATAGCAAAGAAGGAAAATAATTGTGGTCTGAGGCCTGATATGGTGAAGGTAGTGCAAGTGTTTAATTTGCTATATGTCTGTTATTTTTCAAAATATTCACTTGAAACTTTGCATATTTACTGCCAGGAACATTTGAAATATGTATACATGTGTTTTCAACTGAAAATATTTTTTTTTTTACATTTTTTATGAATTTATTTCAGTTTTCTGATTGCATATTGTTTTAGTGAGTGAGCGGACGCATCATATTTAGACAGATTGGTTCAATTATGGTGAATGTATGTATCTCTACGCCGCACGTGCCTTTTAGATGCATGTGATACCTAAAATGGCTAATATTCAAGCCTTTTTCCAAAGATATAGAGCCAAGTTTGTGAAAAATTCAGTCCTCAGTGAGGAAAATGGCATATGTCATATGTGGACTGGAGCATGCAAGCACAGTGGGTATGGGGTATTGCGGTATTTTTGCCCCATAGCCTACCAGTGGCGTACTACTCATGCTCACAGGCTGAGTTTTATAGTACACAGGGAAAACTTCGACATAGGTGATTACGACATCAGCCATTTGTGCCACAACAGTAAATGCACTCTATGTCGAACACCTGTCTGCTGAACCACACAGCATAAATGCAGACAGAGTGGCCTGTGTAAACAGGGGTGTGTAAAGGCCATGCACCTTTCCCAGATTGCCTTTTGGCATTGAAGTTATAGGAGAACAGAAAACAAAGGCAAAGTATATGAAAAATACTATATCATATAATATAGTAAAATTTTATTCATATTTCCTGATTTTCACCACAGTCACAGTTAGTTGTGACATAGCATTTATTCACAACACATAGCTTTAGAGACATTATGATGTATTTAAACTTAAAGTTAAACAGTATCTGTCTTTAGCAAGTAATTAGGACATACAGTTCTGCAGCATCACTGCACATTTTCAATATTTTGAATAAGAATGTTCATGGTTTTGCTGAAACACGGTACAGGGTCTAACTGACCCTTTCTGTAGTCCCAACTCTGCTTGTCAGTCTGTTTAGACTTCAAATGTTCACAGATCTTGCTTCCATGCTGTGTAAGTTTCCTTTCACAACACTGGGGCTTTTCTGATAGTCTTTGTGATAGGTAGCCTCCTTGTCCATTTGTTCAAGTGACCGCACAGCCTCGGCTTGAAAGTTTCACCCCAGAATGGTCGCACTTGTCGATTGCTGATGTCCCAGGGCCATTGTTGAGCCTGTGAATTGTAGAAGAAGCCCTCCCAATCATGTTCCTTGAAAAGTTTACATTCTTTGGCAAAGAAATACTCAGTGATCGATTGGCAGCTTCACATTTCTGTGTGTCTGTGTACAGTTTCATTTGTTCCACCACTTCTACACTTAACTTCATTTTGAGAATTTCATTAAGCAAGTGTTTATCATTGTCATCCATATTGAAATGAGTGATACTGTTGCAGCCGAGGAACATGGATCGCTGCCACCAGCTGTTTGTTACACCTCCTCTACACACAACTGAGTACCGGGCACACCTGGAGCAGCCGCTGTAGCACTTGAGGGTTGCTTCGGAGCACTCTTGGTAAGATACTACGGCGTTTTCATGTCACCTGCATGATCTTCATGAGTTCTTTTAGTATCAGGCTGCACCGCGGCTTTGACATCCTGGCTCAGCACCTTCTTTGCTTCCATTTTATGTGTACGAGTAGTGCCGGGGAACATATCTGCGTTAAAATCAGCTCTGTAACATTGTCGGAACTGTCCTTGAGCCAAGTGGGTTGGGTCAGCTAGCCTTTGCACCTTCCACATTGGGTCCAACACTTTGAGAGCTTTGTCTACTCCATCTGCAGACTTCGAATCCCCATCGGTTGTGGCATACTTTTATGAGTACACCCTGTAGTGTGCGAGCTGATTACCAATGTCCTCTCCCATTTTGAACTCAGAGAATGGCGGAAGGCCGGCATGTTCGCGAGTACAGTCTGGGTGCCCCCTGACATTTCACATCCATGCCTTTTGCTTTCAGCCAGGCACCAGTCCAGCAGAGCTTATTCTGGAATGACGACCGACGATGAACTTCTTGTCAGTAACAGTTTCAAGGCGCTTATGCCGATTGCTTGTGATGCATTCTGCCCTGGCTTCTTCCTGCTTGCTATTGTTGTCGAAGTTGTATCGCCATCCATAGCAATGTTCATCCTACACGGCTCAGTACCCCTCTTCGATTAACTTCCCTTCACTAACTCCACCTTTCTGCCATATCCTTAGTGTTAAGTTCAGTTACAGCCTTAGCCACCTTGTTGGAGGTCCTCTGCATACTGCTCCTGCATGGGGTGGAATGTCCATGTTGGCCATCAGTAACCTCGCCTCGTGATTTCCTATAGGTGTGTCCTGTAGACCCAAGGCAAGTCCCATCGTTGGGTGCTGCTGGGTTTGGCCCAGGTTTACCCGCCTCGATTTCTTTGTATAACTTCATTTCAGGTGCTACAAAGTCACATGTGACACATTTCAGTGTTATTTTCCAGCATGCTCCCCATTTTCTCTCCTTGGCTATCTGCAGCTGAGGGTCGCCACAGTCACTGTATGTTGACCGATGCAGTCGCAGAGCTGTGTTCCATGCTTCGCCACCTTTTCATTGTCGACTAGTCGCATACCCTCCAAGTCATCTTTGCTTGACTCTTGTTTCAGGTCATGCTTGCTCGCTGAAGTGGGACGCAGCAGCCTCACTGAAGTAGAGATGCCATCGCAGTCAGGTGTTGACAGCCCAGTGCCATCCAGCCTTGACTTGGTGACCAGGGAGAAGTCTTCTGCACTCAACCTAGTGACTGTCCTGGGTATCTGGGGTGGAGAGGCACTTTCCTCGACTCTTCCGATTCAAGGGTGAGACCTTTGTTCCAGGGAGTATGGCCTTTGCTGAACTGTGACTTGATTCTCCTTGCGGTCGCTTTCATCGCGATTGTGTCGAATAGAACTAATGAGCTCTGAGCACAGCATGTACTTATATATCCCATCTCTGTGTGTTGTCACTGGCACTGACAAGCAGGTATATGTATTAGAAAAATGTATTGGAAACTCAAGACATACACATGTCTTGTGCCACTGGTGTAAATCGCAGTTGAGCCATACACACCTACTGACACTTTGTCGCAGATTGGCCAGGTGTCAGGTGAGAGTGGACACGCTTTGGTGACTTCAAGTTGCACTTGATTGGCTGTACACATCTACTCTGTGCAGCCAATCAATTTAACGAGGAAAGATAGGGCTTTCTAATGAATAAAAATTAACAGTTTCAATTTTCATTTTGTTGAAAAATATGAACTTTAATGGAATTATTTTAGTATAAAATGCATGTATGTATGTAAAAATAGAGAAAAAAATGAAAAAAAATGCTTTAATGGACTGAAACCAGTGTCCTTTGATAGCACATGCAATAACAAAAGAGGAACACTTGATGTTTTTGTCAATTTCCACCTGGTTATGGAGTTATAGACAAATTAGAATTGTGTTTGAAATTAATTCATGCCCAAAATTAACACTCAAATGCCAGAGATACAGCATGGAGTAAAAGGAGTATAAGTCAAGTTGTGTATGAGTTAGGGCTTTCTAAATTTTCTGTGAGCCTTACATAGTGTCTGGGCTTAGTATTGATGAAGTTTTATCTAATTTGCAGACATTTAGGTGTCCTGATAGGCCTCAGACCACAGTTACCCCTTTAACTTTTACCATGACCCGGAAGTAAAATATGAGAATATAGTGCCTTGTTTAAATGGGCTGTTCTGTTTGTGCTGATTTTTCAGGGTGACTTGTGATAGCTTAAATGAAAGGTAAGACATTGTACTTTACTGCAAAATTTTTGGGTCCACAATCTACTCATGGTATTGACACCAGCCTTCCTTTGATTTGACCCCAAGTTCAAGGCTGTCTGGTGTGTTTCGCCTCAGAACTTCCGTGACCATTGTTTACAGTGGATACAGCAAAAATCGCATAGCATACGTCGATCCAGGCTCATATATTTTGCCGATTAAGGATAAGTGGCAGGTTGGCCAGCATGCAACAGGAGAACAGCCTACTACCGATATTAATTATGGTGCACTGGCATGTCACTGTAGATAGCAAAGAAGGAAAATAATTGTGGTCTGAGGCCAAATGCGGAAGTTGGTCACGCGACAGGCAGGCGGAAGTTGCGGCGTACGCATAAAACTTCTATGTGGAAAAGAAACCCGCCCGTGATATTGAAATGTGATGATAATGTTTAACAAAAATCGCTTCCTCATCAATTAAAGTGCAAACTTAGATGTTAGATGTTAATAATGTTTAAATATATGACGAACTGGTATAAGTCTTACTTGATAATAACAATCGAAATTATAATTCGCTTCCGTGAAATGGTATAAGTTTAAGTTCTCTGTCAAAAGTGTAGTCAAAATGGAAGCAGCTGATCAATAGACGATTTCTGGTTGATAGGAAGACGAAATTTTACAATGTTACCCCTAACTGGTGCTGGGGCGGTGCATTTGTATATTAGTCATAACCCGCTTTGCTGGGAAAAGTGCATCGGAAGAAATACATTATGAAGAGTTGTCAAAGAAACCGCGGCCCATATTTCTGTAAGCATTTGAATTTGAGTAAACTTACATTTGTACAATCATTCCAGGGTGTCATGAAAAACAGCTTATGTTTATATGATTAAGCAATCAGCTGGAATGCAGTTTATCGGGCGCTCCGATGACCTCCAGTGCCACTCAGATCTCATTACGATCCTTAGGCTTAGCGGGGTTGGGATCGCTTTCACTCTTACCAGGGTACGGCACGTGCAAGGTACGAGGCCATCGGTTTGATTCGGGTTAGGTATATGAGATAAATGACAACAAGAGCCAAACCTTACAGTGGTTAATAACATGGAAAAAAATAACCATACTCTTTGCATGAACAAAACTGTCATTTTATGACAAGATAGAAATGACAGTATGAAAACCCAAAACTCTGAATTTTCGGATTGCATAATAAAGCAGCATTACTGTATACCAAACCGAAGGCAAAATAGAGCAGTTCTAATAATACCGCGGTTTACTGTTTTACCCCTTGGGTCTTACCATATCAGAGTAATCCGATACTATCCATTTGGATTAAAACTCATTTCATCTAAAGCATCCGTCAGTGCAGTACTCCCAAACTATCCCCCAAAAGTTTCAAACAGCTACCAGTAATAGAGCTTCAGTATCAGTGCCACTATTTGATCTCATATTTTTACTGATGTATTTATTTCTTTGGTTAAAGATGATAAGCGGTTTGCAGCCCCATCTCCAGGTCTCATCAACTGTTCCTGGTACTCAAACCAGGCTTGCTGCAAGCGCACAGAGGTGACATCAGTGTTCTCCAGCATGTATCCCCTTCATCAGGCCCCCAAGATATGCCGCTTCCAGATGAACTATCTAATGTGCTACTTCTGTAGCCCAGACCAGTACCTCTTTTACAGGGAGTAAGTCACTGATGCCCCGTTTCTTTGATTATCCACTAATGCCTCACAAATTTACAAACTGTAATGACCCGTGAAGATCTGGATTAGAATTGATCTTCAGTAACCCATGCTTGTTGTTGTAAGAGGTGACTAATGGGATCGGGTGGTCAGACTGCTGACTTGGTTGACACATGTCATCGGTTCCCAGTTATGTAGATCGATTCTCATGCTGTTGATCACTGGATTGTCTGGTCCAGATTTGAATATCTCCAAACCGGAGTCATATAGCTGGAATATTGCTTGAGTGAGGCATAAAAACTAAACACACTACAACCTGTGTGATACTCAGTTGGCTTACTCATGTATTGATTCATTCTGTAGTGATTTTAAGAAAGTACTGTCAATAAGGTTTTACATTAATCAAGGCATATAATTAGAACAGCTAGCATTACCTTTACCACCTGCCAAGCAAAATAGCAGATTGGGTCTGGTTGGGTTCAAATTCAGCTTCAGCAATCCATGCTTGCTCATAAAAGTCACACTCGTGAAGATCCGGGTTAGGAATTGGTCTTCAGTAACCCATGCTTGTAAGTGAAGAGGCTAATTGACAGGCTCTGGTGGTCAGGCCAGCTGGCTTCTAGTTGACACATGTCATCATATCCCAGTTGCATAGATCGATCCTTATGATGTTGATCACTGGATTGTCTGGTCCAGACTCGATGATTTACAGACTGCTGTCATATAGCTGGAATATTGTTAAGTGGGGAGTTAACTTTATCAACAAACCAACCAACGCAAGAGTGACACAGGAGATTGGGTGGGCAGATTTCTTGACTTGGTTCATGCAAGTCATCGTGTCCTGGTTGTGAAGTTTGCAAAACTGGAACAAAATAAAACATGCTAAGGGACAAAAGTGCCAATAAATTTTAGCTTTTGTCTTATTCGGATGTATTGTATTTGTCTGTCCAGTTTTTGAAGGACAATGTCCTGTTTGTGGCATGGAACATTCCCTTGACAAACCCTGCTATTCTTTACACAGTTAGCTATTACTGACTGACTGAGTTTGGTTTACGCTGATTTTAGCAATATTCCAGCAACATCACGGCGGGGACACCAGAAATGGGCTTCACACATTGTGCCCACGTGGGGATTCAAACCCGGTCTTCGGCGTAGACGAGCCAGCGCTTTAACCATTAGGCCACCCCACCGCTGAAGTTAGCTATTAAGGAAATGATGTGATAAGAACACTTTGGCCACATTGGATATGCATAATTGAATTTCTACAAATCAGTATTTTTTAAATGAAAATTTGTTTAAATCAATATTTATGAGTTGTAGATAAAGACACAACATATACATATGAATAAACAATAAAATAACATTTAATTATATCAAACAAATTGTTTCTCCAACTTTATGTTTCACCATTTCTAAAGAGGTGTCCTTTTGAAATCAAACGTATTCATAAAATTATTAATGAAATCTTTAATTGCTTACTCTGTGCCAGAGTTTGTAGAAATCTTAGTTGGTCTATAATTAGTGATTAGTTTAAACCACAATTTGATTATTTTCTCATAGTTTGATCATTCTATTTTTACATAGAAATGGATAAATAAAAGACAGTTGTATTGATGCATATTATTCCCATTGTCACCGGTGAGAATTTTTAGCATGAATCAAGTCGAGTTTACATATTATGTTTCTGACCCTACTTTGTTCATTCCAGCAAGTTGATGGTGTGTTCTGAGTACTGTGATTCACTGTATGAAGACTGCAAGACAGCCTCCTTTGAAGGGGACACTATCGGTAAGTGCCCTGGATTTACAAACGCAAAACATTGAGTCCATATTGGAACCGCCATGTTCATTCACTCTCTGAATCCCCGCGGATTCAAAAATACTTACACCCTATAAATTCTGAAATTTTCCATATGGTCCACCTGTCAATCTTTGTGTAAAGGAGTTTGTCAGATCTTCATATATTCCGCCATATGGCTGGAATATTGCTGAGTGCGTCATAAAACTACACTCACTCACTAATAGATTAAAAGATGTTAATTTATTGATATTGACTTTCCTGTTCTAAGGAACCTTTAACATTGTGTATTTTCCTTGTTTTCAGGCTACAAGTATCAAAATGGAACAGCTTTCTGTGAAGCCCAAAACTTCCAAGTGGTTGAAGGCACCAACTGCTTCGAGTATGACCCCACTGTGTTTGACATCGCGACAAGGATGTCACAGTCGTCTATTGTTACGGTCTCTCTCGTCTTCATCGTTCACTTCCTCTTCCACAGTTTCAAGAGACTGCTATGAAGTGTGTAGGAGTAGAGACACTGAACTATCAGCAGAAGAGTGTTGCAAGCAATAGAACAAACTAAGCTGTTCAATCATGTTTCTTCATTCAGAGGTTGTTTGTGTAAGGGATCTTTGAAGAAAGGGCCTAGAACTTCAGATGATCACATTTACAAATAGTTAGCTGAATGATAAAATCTACTTCTGAAAACTGATATAAATGTACATGTAAATATATGTTTGTGAGGTTTACAGTGACTTGAGGTTCAGTAGTAGTAGTGACACAGAGTGGGCTGGACAGATATGTCTCACTTCCAGTAGAGTTCATCTTTAAATATCCGCAAACTAAAATGTTTATGCCTCATTTCAAGTCATGTGTTTTTATTCAGCAAGTTAGTGCAACCAGATTATGGACTTATGACAGACAATGGAGAAATAAACAGTGCATTTAGTTGGACCAAAAATGTGAAAACGTAAGCAAACTATTAAAACTGAGACATTCCTTGTTACTAAGATTGATTTATGAGTCTATATAGCGAGTTGTAAAGAACATCCGACGACATGACCTGGTTCAATCCCAATATTGTGGTGAATCTGTTATTGCATGACACAATCGTATCATGTTTATGTGGTTTCCTAGAATTATGAGACTTTCCACTTTATGAAGTCTGATTTTTGGTAGAAAGGCTTTGGACCTTGTCAGATGGAATTTGATCGCTGGGGCACTTTTGCTGGTGGTCAGAGAGGGCTGGTTGGTTGGGCTGTTTGAAGTTAAAACAAGCAACCCAGCAAAGGAATAATCTTAGATTAATTTTGAATAGACTGACTTATATGTTGGTGAAACCTTCTTTCAAGTGACATCAAAGAACATAAAACATTAACAGCAGAAAGATCAATGTTTCTTCCACAGAACCGGTACAATCGGAGAGACAGTTTCACATAAATGTAACTATATTCCCGAGGCCAAGGAAAACATTGTCAACATAGAGAAAATGTCCTTAATGTAACCCAAGCGAGGATTGATGGATTATCTATCACTTTTTGTTCTCCTATTTGACTGAGATGAGTTAATGTTTAGGTGATAGGAGAGTTTACTCTTAGTGTCTTTGATGGGGGAATTACCAGAGTAATGCTGTTGTTCTGTAAAGAGAAACCATACACATTCAGTGTTCATTCAAGCCTATTTTTCCTAAAATTTCCCCCATACCAGCCCTCAGTTTTCATTGTGATTTAATTTCTGTTTCTGTTGACCAGTTTTCACTTTCATCGACTGCTCCAAGTGAGTACCATGTTACATGAGTTGACAGTTTATCGTTCACATATATTATGCATGTCAAGATATTTAGGCCAGAAGTGGCAGTGCTATTCTGGACACAGATCTAATGAGTCACGTCACTATTTGAAGATTATTTGTTCACTTTTGTGACAAATCTTTGAACTTATCCTATCTCACAGCATGCACCATCTCTCTCTTCTACGACCACGTGGCGACAAGAAAGAAAATGACAGGTAGAGGTGGTCATGTGATCGTTTGGGTGAGCTGCACGCTTTGGTGGATGATTGACAGGCGTTGATGTCGGGGTGAGGGCAGAGGTCAGGGCGGGTCAGAGGCCAGTTAGATTTAACTCAACTTAGCTGACAGCACGTTTCCACACATGGTCGTAGATGAGAGAGATGGTGCATACCCTGAGATAGGATAAGTATATAAATATACAATTTATTATAAAATTTTCAATTTTTTGTTGTATTGTAACTGCATTTGCAGTGATAGTTCTTATGAATAGTATTGCTAATTGAATTTAACTTTATAATGATGTCATTTTTGACAAAGATTTGTGAGTCATTTCACTTTGTGAATGTGATTTGCTCACTTTTGTGATAACTTTTATATTGCATCTGCAGTAACAGTTCTTATAGATATTTATTTGCATTTATCCTGTGCAATATTTGTGTTTACATTTATCTTGTGCAATATTTGTGTTTATGTTAAAATATTTTCCGTTATATATATATATGTGCATTCCTTTTTTTAATATTCCCTTTTGTTACATTTGATGGCAATTTATTGCCTGTTGTTATGTGTTATAAAACTACTTGTTTACTATATTTCAGTTCTTACTGTCACTTGTATCATTCCAAAAGTGGGTCAATGGGGAGTCCAGTGGTTAAAGTGTTCACTCGTCACGCCAAAGAACCGGGTTCAATTCCCCACATGGATACAATATGTGAAGCCCATTTCTGGTGTCCCCTGCCGTGATATTGCTGGAATATTGCTAAAAGTGGCGTAAAACCAAACTTACTCATTCCCAAAGTTGGTTGTGGGTCAATTTCTGTCAACTTATAATTTCATATTTGTGCTTTATCGTATCTTTTTTTTTTTCTCACGTGTTATTGAAATCATTATACAACATTTAAACCTGAACCAAGGTCACAGTAAAAGTAGTCATCGAATAAAATCAAATACATCGTTGAACAACGAACGTGTGATGAATGTTGCAGTAGTTTGCTTCTATTTGTGTAGTTGGACATTGTTACCCAGCTGACAACCATTGTACATATGTAGCTTTAAGTGTTACTGTTCTGTCTTGGAAACACAAAAACAACAAATAATCTTGATACTCCTCCAGAGGCATCTTATACATTTGATGATCGACAGAGATGCCAACCATAATGAAAGACTTCAGTGAAATAACTATGAATTTTAAAACTGAATCCTTTCATATGATGAAGGGATATATCATTTGTAAGTCACATTTGGTTGAAAGAACTTAGTGTGCACTTCAGATAATGATCTGTTACGTGCATTGTCACTATAAACACTCAATAATTTGTATTATAAATATATATATGATATGATTGCATGGTTCAGTTTGTAATGGGAAAGATTCTAACTTGTGAGAGTGAAGGTTGGGTAACCTAGTGGTTAAAGCCCTTGCTCTTCATGCCGAAGTGCCAGGTTTGATTCCCCCATGGATAAAAAAAATGTCTATATTATGCTGTTGCTGATGTAGACCTTGTTAATCCCACATATTTTTTATTGCCTTGATTCAGGGTTGGCATCTCTGTATGTATGTCTTGTATTTACATTGTACTAGGGCTGTGTATTGGCAAATAAATTGTATTGTATTGTATCAGGATCCCCATTGCGATACGTATTGCGATATATTGGGAGCTTAAGTGTTTGACAGTGAGTGACACTGATTGTGCTTGTCAATGTTGTTTTCTACATTAAAAGTCCCTAAACATATGTTATGGTTCTGATAACAGCATTCTCAAAATTAGGTTGCATAACCAGGCCCCGATTTCTCGAAACAACTTAAGTCTGAGTTTTGACTTAAGTCAGAGATTGTACTCAAATTTGAGAAAACACAGGAAAATGCATTTCCCAGAATAAACTGAAATCAATATTAAACTCAGACTTAGTAGACAATTTGAGTTTGGTGGATAGGTTACTTAAGTTGTTTGGGAATTTTTATTTAAAAAAATGCAGTAGAGCTAAAAATTCAGCTGTTTCAAATTGTCAAACTCAGTTTGAAATTTGAGTAAAAACTTAAGTTTGTTTCGAGAAATCAGGGCCAGGATTCTATTTTCTTTTTTATACAATTTATAGTATTACAGTTTTGTTATTGTATAATGAAGGAAAACATTTGTTGTGAATGAAAGTCTGTGTATATTTTCATATAAACCTTAAAGATAATCACAAAAACTGATATATGTTCTTTACCCAATATACTGGTTCTCAGAAGAAATATTGCAATACATATCGTTTGAAAAGCATATTACGATATACCAGTAATACTGTGTAGTCCTAGTATATTCCCCTGTAATACAGTGCAACCTTGCTTATCGGGGCACTTGTTGGATATATTAGTCTCCCAACAACAAATATAACTCCTTAACATGAGAGTAGGGTAGTTATATCATATACCCTGACAGCTAGGTCGCCATAGTCACAAGTAGCAATAATCTGGTGTATAAAATCTGGTGAGTTCAGGAAGTCACTCACAATTTTGATGAACAATATTGAATGAAATCTTGAATAAAGTTAATATCATAAATCACAAACATCTGTCCAGATATACAATGAATACTTTTTATTTCTGGTATGTGGAATATGAGGATTAAATTAACATTGAATTCTGATACCTGTTCCTCTAATGTTGGACACTAGGTGATGAATGACAGAAAAAAACTTATCAAGGATGGTCTCTGTTTGGCAAGTGGGATCCAATAGTAATCTGCACTGTTGATAATTTAAATTTACTGTTCGCATGATTGAAGAATTTATGTGGTAAATGTTTGGTTTTATGAAAATGTTGTCCGGTAGGTGAGGTTTCTGGAGACCAGGGGCTCCTTTCACGAAGCAACCTGTACTAAGGTTAGCCTTAATTCCCCTTCTTTAACATTGCACTAAGGTTAGCCTTAATTCCCATTCTTTTACTAAGGTTAACTTAGTGACTTACGATCACCTTAGTGCTTTGTGAAAGGAGGCCCTGAGGGGCAGTGGGGTAGCCTAGTCGTTAAAGCGTTCGCTTGTGATGACAAAGACCTGGTTCGATTCTCTACATGGGTACGATATGAATAGCCCATTTCTGGTGTCCCCTGAATTTATATTTCTGAAATATTGTTTAAAGCAGCAAAAACTAGTCTCACTCACCCTGGAGTCCAGATAAGCAGGGTTCTGCAGTATGTATATACAAAACCACAACCTTGATGACACTCCTGTTGATTCAGGGACAACACCTTGATGTTTCAGTTTCTTAATGAGTTTGTTTTCCTTTCCTGTCCTAGCTTGTATCAGGTATGAACGACTTAACACATGCTGCTTGGTCTACTTGTGAAACTGATCCACAATGGTTGTATGTTGTGTACAGTTATGTCTTGATGTCAAACTATATCGTATAGGTACTACTTGAACATTTTTGGTGTTGCAGTAGCTATTTCCAAACTGCTTGGAAGCCTTGTGAACAGGCAGTCAGCTTTATGTTTGTTGTTTAATTGCATGATCTTTAACTTTTTGT